AATCTCCTCATTAAGAGTGCCATAGAGAAATGCTGTCTTCACATCAAACTGCTTTGCAATCATGTCAAGCTCAACTGACATCGCAAGGATCATTCTAATGGACGTAAACTTGGCAACAGGGCTAAAAGTCTCAAAGTAATCTGTTCCGCACTTCTGCGTAAAGCCGCGAGCCACTAGACGCGCCTTAAAGCGTTCAATTTCACCTTTTCTGTCACGCTTGACTTTGTAGACCCATTTATTCGAAACTGCTGTTCTTCCTTTAGGTAAACTTACCAATGACCAGGTTTGGTTTGCTATCAACGAATTAAACTCCTCATCCATGGCACTCTTCCACTGCGCACAATAGTTACTAGAGACCGCCTTCTCATAGCAGTCCGGCTCATCAGTTTCAGCAACATACGCATAGCTTAGAGCAGCTTTACTTTCAGAGTACTTACGTACCTCTAGTTCATTATTTGCATCTTCGATATCGAGATCTTTAGTAAAAATTTCGCCACAGCCATTAGTTCTGATTTCTGGATTGTCAGTGTTCGTATCTGGTTTTTCAACAGGAGATTCTGCTCCTACGTGTTCTTCATGTACATATGCGGGTTCTTTGCACGTCTCTCTGATGATAACATCCCTCGAAACCTAAATTTTTCTTTCATTAGGTATCCAAATCCTATAGCCTTTACAATTTTCCTCGTATCCGACAAACACGCCTTTCTTGGATTTCGCATTAAGCTTTCTTCGTTTTTCCTGGGGTATATGCACGAAAGCTTCCGATCCAAAAACTCGCAGCACAGATAACTCAGCCTTTTTATTAAACCACAATTCAAATGGCGACTTTCCGTCCACTTGGCAGTCCGATTGAGAGTATACACGACGTTATTCACTGCTTCACCCCAGTATTTCAGGCTCAATTCCTTGGCATGGATCATAGACCGTGCACCTTCGATAACTGTTCTCATATCCCTTTCATCGCGGCCATTGTGTTCTGGCGTATATGGTGTTGATTTTTGATGAACCACTTTTCTTTTACGAAATATATCTTCCACATCTTTGTTGACGAACTCTAATCCGTTATCGGACCGGATGCTTTGTACTCGCTTTCCAGTTTCTGCTTCAACCTCATCCAAAAAACGGTCAACAAATGATGCAACATCTGCTTTTGATTTTAAGCAATAGACGCAGCGATAATTCGAAAAATCATCACGAAATAACAACATATAGCGCGCACCACCATATGAAATCTCTTGCATAGGACCGCAAAGATCAGTGTGGACAAGCTCACCTGGTAATTTAGCCCTGTTTTTGCTTTCATGAAATGGCATCCGATGTTGTTTACCGAAAACACATCCCTCACAGAAATAATTATTGCTAGTAAATGAAATATTTCGTTGACTTAGGACGCTCTTCACATGGTATTTACTTGATGACACATGCGTTCATGCCAAAGTTGCAGCGACTCAGATTTTGTACTGTACAGCTTAAACAATTTTGAATTTTCTCGTGCACCTTGTAACCACACCTTGCCCTGTTTTTTGAAACAGCAGGTGTTGCCCTCCGCCATCAACGAGTAGCCTTTGTCTAAACATGCGTTGGATGAAAATAAATTCATTTTATACCAGGTACATATAGTACATCAGCTAAATACTTCGAGTTCCAGACGTTGCCATTATATGCTTCTACGTGAATGTCACCCTTACCATATGCCTGCACTATAGAACCATCCGCAATGCGAACATCTCTTGGAGTTTCAAACTTGACATAATCATGGAGCCATTGTTTGTGATAGGACATGTGGTCGCTAGCACCCGAGTCCATGTACCAACTGCTCTCACGTGATATGTTTGATTGAACGAAAATAACCTCACTTACAAAGGCATTACCATGTGATGACTTCTCTGCGTTTTTCTTGTTTGGGCAGTCTCGCTTCCAATGACCAGGCTTTTTGCAAAGGAAGCATTTTCCTTTCCTTTTATTGTTGCCCTTATCACCTTTGCTTTTAACCTGATTAGCTACGAACGCTCCTTGTTTGTTTGGCTGTACACCCAATCTAGATTCTTCCATACACAAACGTGCCGTAAGCATTTTTAAGGTTCGTTCCTTTTTTTCAGTTGCTTCCCACGCGGCAAAGAAGTGGTTATATTGCTCCGGCAATGTCATAAAATTTTTGTTATAAGCATATTCTCAGTAATTTTATCACCGAGATCTTCTAATTGCCGTGCAATTTTCTGCAACTTCGTTATATGCATTGCAATACTGTCGTCAGCGTCTTTTACATATTGAAAAAATTGTTGTTGTAACAAGTGAATTGATGTATCCGACTTTTGTTCGTAAACGCTCTTCAGCGTAGCATACATAGCAGCAGCAGTCTCGCAGTTGATAATATGCATCAATGGTCCTTCGCCCATTGAAACGATCAGAATTTTCTGCGCCTTAGCATCATCCTTGATCCATTTCTTTCTGGGTTCACCATCAACTTCAGGTTGGGTTACAGCTCCACTTACAAGTTCCCATAGGCCGCCAGCTCTAAGCACTACCTTTATCTGGAACTTCCATAAGGTCCAGCCGTCTTCACCTTCAAGTTTGTTGACTTTAATTTCTTCCATCTTAAAAACCGCAATAGCCCAAGAAATTTATATCAATACCGAAAAAAAAACTTAGTTTTGCTTTTCACGCGTTAAGCACGTGCTGGGCCCATAACCTGTAGCCGAGAATCAAAAATATAAAAGTCTTTATGCTTCAAGATGAGAAATAGGAGTGAGTATTTATTAAACAACAAATGTACAAGTATATATGCATTGCTATTGCATGAACATATTTATGTATGTATGCCTGCATACGAACGTGAAAGAAGACAAAATAACGATTAATCTGACGCAATAAACAAAGCCAGGAACACAGCTGTTTGTTTGCCTAACAATAACTTCAGATTTTGATACTACGGAAAAAATCCTATAAGAATCAGGGCTAACTCTCTGTGTCGCAAACATTTTTTGAAATTCTATTCTCTTCATGAATGCAAATTTACACACCGTGTTCATTAAATGAAACACTGTCTGTTTACTTTTACTTATCATATGTGTGGCGTAGAACAAATTTCAAATTAGTTTGCGGAGTTCTAAATATTTATTGTTCACAATTTCTCAGTTTACACATAAAATGTTTAAAATTTACTCTAAAAATGTTTGCTCAAATTTACGCATATAAAGAGAGGTAACCAGTTACCTCTCCTAATGTGTGCAAAATTAAACACTGTATTTTACATACTAAATTTCTCACGTAGAGAAAAACTACAAACAAAGTGCTTAAAACTTAATAAATATGAGCACTTAATTTTAATTATTCGTAAAAAATATATTTTTACTTTCAACATTTTTGCAGTTTTAAACATTTTATGTGTACATTTATGTGTATATTTTAAACATCTCATGTTCAAAATCAAATCTTGAACATCTTGTGCTTATATTCTGGTTGAAAAATAAACACTCTTCAGTAGTAGTAGTTTTGCATGCACTTTTTAGAGTGTAGACTTATATAAACTCATAGTAAAATAACCCCATATTCTAATAATGAAGGCGAAAAATACTGAAATACGAATAGCTACAAGTTTATACATATACCTATGTGCAAAATAATAGCAGTGTGACATTTGACCAGCTCTATTCTTCTTTACATTGATTAATTTTTATTATTTACATTTTTAAGTGGTTTTACTTTTCACTTTTCGAATCTATAATGTAATAAGTATATGATTGTTTGTTATACATATACTGGCATATTATGCTAAATTTCTATAATTTATTATTGTGCCGAAAGTGGCTCTGTGAATGAAATTACCAAAAATGGCACTATTGTGCCTACTTTTCCATCACTGGCTGTCCCTCATTGAGTTCGTTCGTTTCGCCACTTGCTAGATGTTGGCGAATCGATGACGGCTATTGTAAAATTTATTAGGCTAGCAGCATTATTTTGCTTCATATTTTCATTGAATGCACAAAATTTAACCCTTTTTCTTTAGTACAAAAACATTTGGTGAAATTACTCCGCTGGAGTGTGAAAGGGTTATCTTCAGGTCGCAACGTATGCCTCATTTGGCTATTTAAACTCCTTTAAGCAATTTTGAGGAATAAAAAAAGCCTAAAAAATAAATAAACTCCCCAGTGAGCAACGCTTCTTATTAAGTTAACATTATTATTTGTAACACTTTGAAAACAGCTATCTTCCTTTCGTACGTCTTGAATCCACTAACGAATGCATTGGTCACGCTGACTTATGCTAAATTCCTTTTGGCTTTAGATGAAAAGGTTTATTTTCACTTCACCCTTAAATACGTTGGTCAGACTTGATATGGTCTCTGCGGAATTTGCGTTGAGGGTCTGGTTTCTTAAGTGTTTGAGTGAAAACATTTCTATATATCACTGTGTGCCTTACTGACGGCATACTTTTGTGGCTGCTGATTTAACTTAGGGTACAAGTAACTTCTTCTTTACGTTCATCCTTCAGCCGGTAGCTTTAAGTAACTTTGGCCTTCTTTATGTCCTTAGTGAAGTTAATAGTATTTTTGATTACAATCTAAATAGGTTTTTTGGTCCCATTTACCACAGAAATAACGACAATAACAACTAATACTACATACCCTGCAAAAATCGTAGGACCATGTGGTCCATTTGTGTCATATTGGATTACTTACAAAATGCTCCTCTGTAATGCAGTAGCGGACCAACTCCGTGTCTCTACACCACCTTATTGTTATCCGATCATTGCTCGTGTTTTAACGATCGTAATCACTACACGATGTTTATTGCGCTGTGTTGCCAAGAGAGAAAAATTAAATGATTTCATTAAAAATAAGTAAATTTATAATAAATAAAGCGAACTTATAGAAGTATATATTTTTTGAGAACTATTAAAATCACCTATGTATGTTAAATTTTTTACTTGCTATATCGCGTGTCAGTTCCATGTGCTTAAACAAACATCTTTCAACATACCTAGATTCAGTAAAATTCTGTAATGGCAACTCTGGTATAATGCAACTGCGCAACTGGTTTCAAGTGTACGCTTTGGTATACAGAATTTATAAAAGTGAAATTGAGTTTGCAGAAAGGAAGAGTGAGTTTTACTGGTGAATAATATAAATTAAAATTGATATTACAGATTATTAAATAAATAAACAAATATGCAGTGCAGTGCACGACACAGAAGAAGAGTTATAAAATTGGAAAGGGAAAAGTTCTCGTTAAGATTAGAAAATGCAAATAAGGCAAATGCGCAAATTGAATATACCGATGAAGCAATTGGCTTAGAAAATATTGGCTCGGTTGACTTGGTTAATCATATACCGACAGATAGAGAAGTTTCCTCACATGGACAATTCGGTGGGACAACTGGCCAAACGTTTAAACTAATAAATGATCTAGGGCAATGGCACATTAAGAGTAGAACATCTCATAAAAACATGAGAGAGTTATTGTGCCTTTTAAGAAGTAATGGCATAGATGTACCCCTTTCTCCATCGACGCTTCTGGAAAAAAGTACTTCAAGAGTAAATGTAGTGGCTGTGCAACCTGGCCAATATGCACATTTCGGTATAAAGCAAGGTTTAATGAAGGCGGCACATATTTTAGAAAATTTCGTTGAAATTATTTGTGATATTAATATTGATGGTTTGCCGATCTTTAAGAGCTCAAATATGCAGCTTTGGCCGATACTAGTTAGAGTAGTTAATATTAAAAACATAAAGGTTTTTCCTGCTGGTATCTATGTTGGGAAGCAAAAACCTAATGATGTTAGCGAGTTTTTAAACCAATTTGTCCAAGAAATTTTAGATTTACAGCAAAATGGTATAGCAGTCAATGGCAAAGAAATCTCATTTAAGATACGGGCGGTAATTTGTGACGCACCAGCGAAGTCGTTTGCTTGTGGTATCGCTCACCATTCTTCAGCACATGGTTGTTCGAAATGCACACAAGTTGCAAAAAAAATACATAATGTTTTAACTTACAGCACAGAAATCGCCGAAGTTATAGGCGACGATGATTTCGCCGAAAGAAAATTTAAAAATCAACATCAACCACGTTTCCTTAAAACCAAGACACCTTTCGAAGAAATAAATTTAAAAATGATCCGCCAAGTCCCTTTAGATCCCATGCATGTCATTGATTTGGGTGTAACCAGAAAAATGCTAAGCAAACTTTTTAAAAATAAAGTAAACGAAAAAATTTCAAACTCGAGCAAGTTAAATATATCTAAATTATTGATTTCATTAAAAAAAAATATTACCAAAGAATTTGCAAGATTGCCCCGTGGTTTGGAGGAACTTGCCAACTGGAAAGCTACAGAATTTCGCCAATTTTTACTGTACACAGGTGTTTTAGTTTTAAAAAATAATGTTGGTGATGATTTTTACTTTGCATTTCTGCTCCTACATTGCGCAATAAGGTTATTGTCATGCCCAAAAAATTTCCAAAATAACATCGCAATAGCAGAAGGGTTATTAAAGCATTTCGTCCATAACTTTGGAGCAGTTTTTGGACCACAAAGTGTAACATACAATGTTCACAGTTTGCTTCACCTATGTGCTTGTGTCAGGCAGCATGGTATGCTATATAACTTCTCTGCATACGAGTTCGAAAACCACTTACAATTGATTAAAAAAGATGTGCGCAAGCCCACTGATATTTTGCAGCAATTGTACAAAAGAAATTTTCATACAAATTTAATAGAGGAACAAAAACTTGTAGGGGTTAGAGAAAAAAATTTCATCATTTATAGCTACTCAACTAACGAATATTCCCTAAGTGTAACAGCTCCGAATAATGTATGCCTTTTAATGCCCTATATACCTTTTAAAATTATTGGATTCAAACGTGAAGAAAATAGTGAAACCATAGTAATAGGGCGCCGTTTCAATAATATCCTTCCATTTTTTGAAGAGCCATTAGATTCAATATCGGCACTAGGCATTTGTACTGCCGATAATATACTAGAAGAAACAGAGGAAATATATAATACAGATAGAATTAGCTGCAAACTTCTGTCGCTGCCATATGAAAGTAAAGTGATTTTAATGCCAATTTTACATGAGTGCACTTAAAAGTAAAACTAAAATATAATAAATACATACAAAATAAAATACAGATACAAACACCAGTACAAAAAATAATATAAATATGGAGAACGAACCGGGAAAACTTCAGAGATCGAATGCTTTTGTAGGAAACGTACTAAAAAATTGTGAGTATAAAAGAGTAGTCAGAATGTTTGATTATTTAAATAGATACAATTCTCAAGGTAATCATTTTATTTTTCAGATCGTATCACGAAAGCCCCATGTCATCAATGTATCCAGTTCAAAGGTAGGCTACTAAAAATGTATTTAATACCTAAATACGTCAAGTAATAATATTTTTTGTTATATATTGTAGAAATGATTGAAAGACAAAACCAATTAATCACTGAAATGATGGCCGATCAAACAATTTTAAGAGAAAACCTTTCGAAATTGCAAGGTGATTTTAATACGAATTGTTAATATATCGTTAGCTCTTTTTTAAAAACAAGTTTTTAAGAATAAAGCTATTAGCAATATTGTATTTTTTTTTTTACTTTTTACAGCAACAACAGAAAATCAAAACAAGGTTATAGTGGAAATGATGGCCGATCAGAAAGTTCAGTTGCAAGCATTTAATAAAACTCGCCAAGACGTAACTGCCATAACAACAGCATTTCCGCTTAAAACAGAAGAAGATCTTCAAAAGATGGAAGCTGAAATAAATGAAATTAATGAGGAAAAATATGTAATTACTAATTATAAATCTTGTATATCTTGCATAAAATATTACTGTCCATTTTTTTTTCTTTTTAGGTATCTGCCGTAAAATATTTACTTGATGGAAGTGCGCCTAAAAACTTAGAACGCATATTTTCTCGAGAAGTGTGCATGATTTATAACACGGACGGAAACTTCGGGAAAAAAAGTCTTAGGAGCAAGCAAAATATATTTAAAATTGTTTTAGGTAAGCATTTAAATATGTTAACGTAAGTTCAGTATTTATCATTTTCCTCGTTTAAGTATCACTAATAAAATTGTTGTGGAATCATAATTAAAAGAACTTCCGTTTAGTGCCACATTTAACGATAAATATGGTTATTACTTTTTGTACAAAATAGCTTATTTTATTTTAAATCAAACACTAAATTTTAACACAAATTTTGGGGGTTCCCCTATTACCTTTTAATTTTGCTTCAAAACAGCAAGTTAATCAATCTATTTTTATGTTCACGTTCACAAACTATTAGTTATTACTCACATTGCTTTGCTTTAAACTAATTAACGGCAATTTATTCAATAAAATCACTACAAAAATGTCTGCGCATTTGCATAAAAATTAAACGGCGCAGTTGAGCTGTCAAATATAATGTAAATATGCACTATATATAATACAATATATTAATATATAGTGAAGATTGAGAATAAATATCTGCCTTAAATGAATGAAAATTTAATTCTTTCAAAAACGTATCTGCTTGTGTAAATTGGGTTATTTCAGTACGAAGTGCTAGTTACCTCTGTAAATGGCCATTTTTGAAATGGTTCCCCTGTGGTTTGTGGAATGGTCCGAGGGTTATGTATAACTTTTTAATAAAGTTTGAACTGCACTCTTTTTAGTGAGTGATTTATCAGGAGCCATGCCCTCGCCCCTCCGCCAACTAACAAAAGAATATTTCACTTTCACACAGTACATTAGAAGTACATATGTATGTTTAATTCACTTTGCCGCACTTTACACTTCTGTTTTCCTTGTTCAGTTTAATTAATACATATCTGTTCTTTTATTTTAAAAGTCGTATGCTTACTTTCTTTAGCTAACAATAGTTTATTTGGCGCAAGACAATTCAAAACAATGTAAATGACAGAACACAAATGGCAAGTTAAGATGAACGATTATACAATTGCTCGATAGAATAATCGAATTTCGCTGTTGCCACATTGTGAGAGTTATAGGGAATTTATATGAGGCCTGAAGTTGTCGGCTGCCTAATTTCGTTCAACTTTTGATTCAACTAATCGCCTGTGGAAGTTGAATCATGTAAATTCCCTATTACAAGAATTTTTAATTTGATAGAAAAGTAGATAGATTATATACGTAAATAAACTATGTTCTTTGGGGTTACGTAAGAGAGCAAATTTCGTTATACTATATTTGATCTCGAAAATTGTAAACATTATAACTCATAAGGTCCCATTTACTTAAATATTTCATTTTTTCACAATATTTATAATGATTAACAAAAGTGGTACCAAAAAACCAGTGAATTTAATTCAACTAAACTATATATTTATAAAGATTTATAAGATATAAATATATTTGTTTCAGCTGCAGTAAGTCACACTTCTCCCAATGCAGAAAAGGAATTGCGAATCGCACTTCAAACAGTGAAAAAACGCCACTTTCGTCACGTATCCAACCAAAAGAAAAAAATAGTAAATTAAATTTAAGCTCCGTATGTACATGTGCATGTACATACGTAAATATAGTTATAAGTAGATGGAGTTATTTTAATTTTTTAATATATTTAAAGATGATTTTTTTTTTAACGTAGCGAACTTTTTATTTAACTAGTAAGTAATAGGGATAAATACAAACTTCCTCATCTAGTTTTAAGTAATACATATCCCTGATCTCATTATAATGAATTTTTATTTATTTTAAAAATGGAAATGTGATATTTTTAATTTAAAAATAATTTTAAGTATGCGTTTAATAATAACAAAGTGGAACAAAAGAATTAAATTTCCAAGTGAGAAAATATGTACTTTTGCAAAGTTAAATATGTTATTTTATTAGATACCTGAATAAGTATTAGTACAAAGATTCTTAAAGAAATAATAATATTTGTCAAAAAACTATATATTAAGTGAAAAGCCTTACAATTTATATTTTTCGTTTCCGGTATACGTATTCACATATGTATGTATTAGCATGAATAAAGAAAATTAAGTTTTTGATATAAATATATGTTTCAATGTTTTTTGTTTTAAAGCGGTTTGTATTCAAAATCAAAAGGTAGTTTTAAATCTAATCCTCTGTAGATGCTCCATGAACTAATGCCTTAGTGTAGTCTCGAAAGTACTCTCCCGAGGGTAGTCTATGGAGTAATGCTTAAGAGTAGTTTCGAAACTACTCTTATGTAAGTGCTCCATGGAGTAAAGACATAAGAGTAGTTTTTAAAGTACTCGCCCACAAGTAATTTTTAGAGTATTGTCTTGGAGTACTTTCGAAACTATTCCTCTGTAAATATTCCATGGAGTAATCCCTAGGAGTAGTTTTGTGGTAGTCTCATGTCATGCAAAGCAGGAGTATATAGTCCTGCCCTAGGACATCGCAATGTTAATTGGACCACATTTTTTATATGAAATGTGGTTAATTTTGGAGTACTCGTTGACCCTTAGGGAGTACTCTTTACATGCATGCATGGAGTAGACGCGATTTTTGCAGGGTATTTAAGCAACAAGCGTGTTCAAAGTGCAAACAATAACAACAAGTAAGCCAACAGCTCAAGAGATGCCACACATTCAGCAAATACACAAACATTTATGTACATTTGTACATATGTTATGTTCCTCACCTTAGTATGTATGTATGTATGTTAAAAAAAAAATGCTTTGGAATACCAGAACACCAAATCTATTGTGGCTTGAATACCATATACATACATACTTATTATTATCTGTCACAGCAGCTTTGTTGCCACCATTAGTTTTTGGTCATCTCTATTTATTGTTGTTAGTGTTTTTCATTACTGCTGTCCTTTGTTACGATTCATCTTGTTTGTAAATCTCTTCTAAGCCTTAATTTTTATGGCAAAGGTTGACCGACGCACCGTATCGTATCTGTGAAGTAGAAAACAAATAGGCGTCCCGTCAAAAGATGGAAGGAGTTTGGTGTCAGCCACAGCAAATTGAAATGGATAAAGCTGTAGCTGAAGGTGCAGAAACTTATTTATGTGTAACTGAGTTTACGGGGTTGTTCTCCGCGCCCGGGTGGATGTTTGCACATCTCCACATCTGACTATTATTATAATAAGATTTAAGTTTTTTTTAAACCTTTAGAAAAGAGAAATATGGTGGGGATTGAAGAGTGGGCCAGTTTAAATTGCCTGTTTACGTAGGTGACAGCAAATATTTAATTAAATATATTGTAGTTTTAGATTTTCCTTTTATATATGCAACTCAATAAATGGCGACCATTTTAGCCGACAACTTGAGTGTGGGCGATTGCCCCTTAACGGGCTTTGTCAATCCTTCTACTGTATTTCTGCCAAGAAATGAGTATACATATACTGGTGGTCAGCTGATTAAGTTAAGTGACATTTTGATCAGTTTCGGTTATGGACCATTAAATGGTTCTGGTTATGTAAATTGCTAAACTTTTATAAAAAAAATATAAACATTAAATAGTTAAAAGAAAAATAGCCAAACCTGGTCAAAATGTCAAGTAACTTAATCAGCTGGGCACAAGGGTATATGCATACTTACTTATCTGAAACAAGTAATAAAAAAATTTTCTGTTTCTTTCCATAACACAATTTTGTTTTGTTTTTATAAAGAACTAAATGCGGGTTATTTGATATCTTGGATTTATACAACCTTTTGTTGTCTATAGTTATAATTATGGTTCGGTCGCTGCCCAGCGCCCTGCAGATCAATCAGTTCCTTCGACTGCCGAATGACTATGGCGTAGGTTGGAACAAGGTGTTAGACGACCCGTTCTGATGTTCAGTCTGGCTAGGAAACCAAATAACTAGCCCAGTCTCGAACGGAGTGCTCCGGATAACTGGCGGCCTACGGCTCTATCCAGCCTTACCTGCACACACGGACCACTGTGCTGGCGGACCTCCGTTGCCCGATACTCGTGGGACCAAAATTATGAGTGAAATTTTCTTGAACAACATCAAAAAAGAGGACGGTCCTCCAAAAATCCGACAGGGGTCGCTTCGATTTATGCTTCAGCTTCGACCAGCGAAGGTGTCAGACCGCTATTTTTAGGAGGTAGAAGGGGCATAAGCTCTAGGACAGGTCCTAATACGAGCGACGAATGAAGCAGGGGGGAGGGGGGCAGTATGCCCTGGCGGGCCGGTCTTCAATAATTTGATGGTTGCAGTGGCACAGACAGCTCCACCTATGGCAATAAAACCCCACACCAAGCGGGGGTGGCTGCTGAAGAGAAACCCTGCATCTCAAAACAGGTTGATTTTGTGGGTCAAGGGGATGTGAGGGGGGTTTGGCTACACACGTTCGCCCCTCAAAGCAGGACTATTATGATAGAAAGGCGGCTTCTAGGGTCCTCTTTATGATTGGGAACTTGCCAGTAGAGCAGCTTACGGATGAGCAGGCCAGGTCGGTGAAATAGGCGAGGAGAGTAGTATCCAGCTTGTTAAAACCGGCAGGTGCTACTCTAAAGAGTCAGCATTCTCCTGAGCAAGTAGCGGATAGGGTCGACGAAATACCAAAAGGAGGTGGCCACAATTATCCCCATTTCAGCGACGTTGTTAAGAGTGGCGGTGAGGTATTGGCCATCATTGACAGAGGGGAGGAGGAAGGGACTATCTCTAAAGAGAAGTTGAGGTGGCTTGAGGAAGCGATCGCCGATATCTGCCCCCAAGTCCGGGAATATAACCCCGGACCTCCTCCCCTATGCCATGATTCCTGCTGGTCCCAGGTCAGAGCAAAGCTCATCGCCTGCGAGTACCATAGGTCAGCTTAGCCCGTAAGAAAAGTAGGTTAAGTCTGGCTGGGGGCCAAACTCGAAGCTGTCAGCAAGGATGAGATCTCAGATTTGGATCCCGGTCAAGCCAGCGGAACCAAAAGGAATAGAGCAGATTTTCAAAAGCTGAAAAAGAGACCTGCCATCCTAAAACTGGAAAATCGAGGAGCCAGTAGAAGGCAGGAGGTAGCTGTTGTTGATCTTCAAGGCTGAATCGCTTGCCCCACTAGTGCAGAAAAGTGGGTGGTCAGATTCGGGTTTGCTGATGCAACCATTCGAGTGACAAGGCCGTCCTGTGTTGCGGTGGTAATATCTTGCGATATTATTCAACAAAGAAAACCAACTCGCCGCAAAAATATTGTGAAAAATCAACGGTATAAGCTGCTATAACGTTTTTAATCAAGGACTGATAAAGTTATGCCATTTTTGTGTATTAAAAAATTTAAGTAGCAAAAGAAATTATTATTTTTTCGTATAAATGCAGTATTTGGTAAGAACAACAATATCCATTTTTGAAACCCAAAAAAAAAAGGTAAAATACTACAAAAAATTATAGACACGAGCGTAATATATGCATCATCATAGTCACATTTGCATATAAATTCGTAAGCAACCATTTCATTTTATGCAGTTCCAGAGACTTACCCCCTTCCTAATAGAAAATTTACCTGTGTGCATTAGTTGGAGTAGCGCAAACAGAGTCCGAAAATTATTTGGCATTTACGTACTACGTGCAAATCAGAAGATATGCATACTCACTCTCATAAAGATATATGTATGTACATATGTATGTTTGTATGCAGTAAATTTTTGCACAAAAGTCTCATAGCTATGCATTATCTGGCATAGAGAAAAATTCAAACAAGAATTTCGGCCAGCAGAACAAAGGACCACAGACACATTGACATAGTACGCATGCCAAACTGCATATTTTGGTATGCGTACATATCTTTAACTATTCATGCGTACGTGCCGTGCTGTGAGAGTTTTGTTTTGGTAATTTCTTTGGTCTTTCGTTATTTTGTTGACTATTTTATGCGTTCCGTTATCAGTTTGAGTGCACTGCAATACTGTTGTTTTCTAATATTTTTATACACTCATATGTATCTATGTACGAGTATGTAAGAGAGCAAGCACATTAATGATTTTCGGAAATTATATGTACTTTTTATATATTTGCCTTATGCCTCAGAATTTCGTTGGAGTTTTAGATAACTAAGTAAAATTTCGAATAAAAACTTATAAGTTATGCCTTTTGTTTACTTGAATATGCTTTGAAAAAATTATAAATTATGTGTCAAAGATAAACTAAATTTTTGCGTATGCAGTATGTGTATTAGGGTGGTCCAAAAATGCAGGTTAAAAAGTAAAGTGGGAATTTTAATGCTCTCACCCCCTAGGATTGTTCTATACCGAAAAATATATACCCCTATTTTTATTTTGAAATCAAAATATATTTAGAGGTCGCACAAAGCGCTCTAAGTTTTCCATATATGTATTTTATATGGGAAAAAAACAATTTTCTTAGAAATGGTATAGAATTCTTGAAAATCATTATTTTCGATCGGCAAAACTCTGTTCTTCTTTAGAAGATACCCAAAATATTAACCAATTATCTATTTAACCATTTTTTTTTATAGTAACTATATTTTATAGGTCCGCCAAACCCCCAGAAAATTTCAAAAAATGCAATGGAGGAAAAAATAAAAAATCTTAGGTTTTAAAAAATGGTTAAATAAAAAATTGGGTATTGTTATTGGGAGTCTTCTGAAGAGAA